AGAAGGACCCATGACACACTCTTCACAACCAGAGCAGGGCAGTCACACCCATCCCTCCCGCCTTGGTCAGGCTCTGCTCAAAAGATCCCAGGGTCTGAATCCAGCACACGTGAGCTCCACTCCAGGACTCACCTCTTTGTCCTCTGTTTTCTTGAGAAACTAGCCTTTCTGGGTACTCACTTCACCTACTGTGAAATGGGGAAATTTCTACTGATGTCAGAAACACTCTTCATCAAATTAGTGTCATAAAACATTGAAGAGTTTAACTTATTAGGCAAATGCAGACAGGTCTCAGTGAGTTACCCTTGGTGTTGGAGTCTCCTGTCTGCCTATGTGGGCACACAAGGAAAATTTTTCAGCTACACTGTGACTTGCATCACATGCAATTTTACCCAAGTCCAAATTAGCAGATTCCCAATTGTACCAAACTAGTTTAAAATCCTCCCACACCAATCCCCATGGGATGTGAGTTGTAATAAAACTGATAGTAGCAAAAATAGCAGTAATTAGAGTAAATTTTTGCCTGTTCAACTGAACTGAGCACCAGAAGCATCACCTGTCGCTCTGATGACCCAACTGCAGAGATATGGATGCAGGAAGCATCGGTCCTGATTCCTAAATAGACAGGAACCTGGCGGCCATGAGTCATCACACAGGATTGTCTGCACACTGCCCCTTTTCAAATGCACTACACTGTACCCTGCACTCTTCTTTCTGAAACAAGACAGTGGACTATCCAGGGCATTACAACCCTGGGACAAATATAGGAATCGCACTTGCCCAGCCTCCTGCACCTTGTATGTGACCTTCTGTGTTGGGCTGAGGACGGCAGAGGGGCAGCTGCCTATGGAAGCCTGGAAACCCTGGTCCACATCCTTTCTCAGGTGACAGGTGCTGTGGGGTGACCTTCAGGAGAAAAGCTCCTGGTCTGAGTCCTCCCCTACCAGCAGGGGGCAGCAGAGCTGCATCATGAGGAGCAGGACGGAGGCTGGGGCTGCGGGGGCCATTCTCACAGAGACGCCAGGCCTGGGGGTCAGCGGGTTGTCTGAGGTTCAGTCCTCAGAGGCTGTTAGGATGATCCATCCTCACTCCTCAGGCTGAAAGGACCATGTTCTGATGGTCAGACACACAGTGTCACCCAGGACACTGACAAGAGTCCCGAAACAGTGATCACCTCACCTGGGAAATTCAGGTCCTCTCCCTGTCCACCAGTGTCCCCAGGGACTGACTCCCCTCTGCTGGGCACATCCAGAGACATCTGATGACTCACACTCTGCCTATCCTTCTCCAACTCCACCCCAACTCAGACCTGGGGCTGCAGCTCCTTTGTTGAAGACCATCTCAGGAGGCAGGAGGAAGAGAACTTGTGGTCCCCGTTCCCTGGAAGGAGCATCCACAGCCTCCTTGTGAGACTGTCTCCAGAGTGACGTGATTCTCATGCCTGCAGGGACCATGGCTCAGGCCCTGGAGCTCACAACATATGGGAACATGTGATCGTGTGGATCCTCACAAGATCACAGTCCTTGAAGTTGTTTCTCATGGATCCAGGCCCTTTTAATATGTTCCCATGAAACACTGATGAAAAAATTAGAAGGAAACAAATAGTTGACAATGCCAATTGCTGGTCTGCTGTGGGATGGGGGCTGTCATAGAAACAGCAGCATGATGTGTGAAAAGACTAGAAATCCTGATGAATCTCCGGCAGCAGGTGTTTGTTTAGCAGGTAAGCACCCACTTTTGTAAGTGATGAACAAACCTCAGAATGACAGTTCCCCATTCTGACAACATGCCAAGGATGGGATCATGGTGTCTGTGGGGATGCAGAGAGGCCCTGAAGCAGGAGGAGGAAGGTAAGGAAGCCACGGGACCACCTTTCCCTGAATCAGGTGTTGTCTGCATGTCCCAGAGGAACCAGATAAGCCCCATGACCAGGCTCTTTCAAGACCCTGAGGCAGCCCCAGACAGACCCCAGGCAGGTGGGATCCCAGCAGGAGCCTTAGGTTATAGGACAGACTCCGTACTGCTTGTAGGACTTGAGGTAGGCCTCTGGGGAGGAGAATCAGACACTCTAGGAGAGGAAAGCACCTGGATGAGGCCCTTCCCTTGCTGCTGTGATAACAGAGAATAAAGCAACTGGAAGGAGCCCAGCCATGCTGGTGTTGTGGGGAAATCAGAATTCTTATGTATGACTACATTAGTTTGTTAGGGCTGAGAGAACAAAGCCCCACAAACTTGGTGGAAGGAACTGAGAACAGAAATGTATTTTCTCACAGCTCTGGAGATCAGCAGTCTGAGACCAAGGGACTGGCAGATTTGTTGTTTTTTTGTAGGCTGTGAAGGAGAATCAGTTTCATCCTTCTCTTACAGCTCCTGGTGGTTCTCTGGCAATTTTTGGCATTCCTGGTCTTGTAGATTCCTGCTCTAATTTTATAGGGTGGTCTTCCTTGTCAGAATCTTTCTCCAAATTTTCCGTTTCATAAGAAACCAGTCCAATTGGATTAGGGCCCAGCCTACTCCAGTGCAACCTCATCTTAATTTAACGAATTACATCTACAAAGATCCTATCCTGAAATCAGGGTCCAGTGAGAGATGCTGGAGGTTAGGACTCAAACATACATTTGATCCCCCTAGAGGGATCAGTGTGAGGAGCCCCAGTCTCTCTGCCTGAGCCTCTCTTCCCTCAGTGCCACCAGCCCAACCCTGAGGCCCATTAGCCCTCCCCTACCCACCCAGGCCTCTATGCTACACTCTGCGGTCAGGTCAGAGGACACACACTGACTGGCAACCTATGTAATTCAGGTTTGTAGTATCTGCAGAACTAGGTTCTCCCTCCCAGAACTAGGACATCACAGGTAGGACCAACTCTAGTGAGACGATGGGGATGACATGGCACATATCACAGGGTCTAAAGAAGCAGGAAGTAGTTCTGCTCTAGTTCTGCTGGGACATCCTGTGATGTCTCTGTTGGAGAACCAGGACCATGTCCCTGGGCCCATGACCCAGTGAGGAGGATGGCAGCCTGAGAGGATGTGCCTCTTGTGAACTGTGCAAGGGATAGTGCCTCTGGGGGCCTGTGTGTCTGTGTGTGTGTGTGTGTGTGTGTGTGTGTGTGTGTGTGTGTGTGAGAGAGAGAGAGAGAGAGAGAGAGAGAGATTTTGGAGTTGCCAGGAAATTTTGCCAATTTTAAATGTCCAAACCCAAGACTTATGTTTCCATAATTTCCACCCATCCTCTAAACTCCAGTGACTTTACTTTATATCATGTTTAAGGATAAAGGATATTGGGATGCCTGGGTGGCTCAGTTGGTTAAGCGGCTGCCTTCGGCTCAGGTTGTGATCCCAGCGTCCTGGGATCGAGTCCCACATTGGGCTCCTTGCTCAGCGGGGAGCCTGCTTCTCCCTCTGCCTCTGCCTGCCACTCTGTCTGCCTGTGCTCGTTCTCTCTCTCTCTGACAAATAAATAAATTTTAAAAATCTTTTTTAAAAAAAGATAAAGGATATTAAAAGGAGCAGGAGGAGGAAAGATTTGTATGTGCTTACCACATATGAGGCATGATTCCAAGCACTTCCCATTTATTAAATTGTTTAATCATGAATATGCTACAAAAAAGCATTCTGATTATCACACCAATTCACAGATGCAGAAGCTGAGGCAGGTAGGATATGTAACTTGCCTGAGGTCAAAGTTAGAAAGTGGCCAAACAAGCAGCAAACCAAAGTCTTCTGATCCCAAAATCCCTGGTCTTCATCACCAACCTATGGACTTCTGTGCTTTCAGGCTAAGAAATGGCCCCTTCTTAATGCTCCAGAAAGTTCTGTCTCCTTTTTCAAAAGCAAGTGACAGCTACTGGGACTTTGAAGAGTAGCCCGTCCAACAGAAATAAAATTCCAACCACATTCATAATTTAAAATTTTCTAGTAGCCACATTTTAAAAATGAGAAGAAATGAGCAGAACTTGTTTTCCTAGTACACTTTGTTTAGATCAATTTCTTGAAAATATTATCACATCAATATGAATTACATATAAAAATTTTTTTTACCTTATCTTTTATGCTATGTCTTTGAAATCTGCTGGGTCCCCCAGAACAACAACACTTCTCTATTAGGACTACCCACATTTGATTGTACACAGGTTTTCATGCCTTGTAGGAGCCATGGACAGAGCAAGTTAAATGCATAAGGTTTCGTTAGGGTAACTGTCCCTCCAGTATAGACTCACAGCCAGCAGGCTGTTTTTCCTTGGGAAACACAGATAGCAACACCATGAACATCTGAGCACTCTTCAGAACAGAACCTGGGAGGACATAGACTGGAATAAAGGAGAGAGAATGAATACCAGAAGATCTCAGTAGGCTTGGGATTAGGGGAGAGGGAGGATGGTGAGGGGTCAGATTCAAAGGGCAGGCTCTGGGATGTCTCCTGGGTTGGAAACTTGACTTATTCATCACTGTCTTGGCAAATGAGAATGATAAAATCATTTAATGTCTCAGCATTAGATTCTTCATTTAACAGACTGGAGGAAAATTGTGCCTTGAGCATAGGGCAACTATTTTTATTATGACTCATTCAGTGGAAACTGTACACATTCACCAAAGGTTTAGCACCTACTGAGGGCTCAGAAGTAGTCATTTTGTTAAACTACCACTACATGTAGTGTGACATTCATCCCGGGGGGGGGGGGGGGTGGGGGCACTGTGGGTCTTGGTTTGAGACCCCAGTAAGTTCAAATCCACTGGTCCATGCTCAAGTGCAAAGGGTATGACTGATGGTTCCTTTGAGGAAACTTGTGTTGTGCAGATTCAACTCTCCACTCTAGAAACCCACACCTGCTCTTCTAACCTCAGGAAATTACCATGAGGCACTTAAGCTCAGGGCTTAGACAAAAGCTTCCACAGACCTACTGAAGAATGGAAAGTAGATTTGCATCTGATGCCCCTCCTTCCTTGTGCTGCAAAAACAGAGGATAAGATGGGAGTTTGGAGAGTTCAGTCCCAGCAGGAGATTCAGAGCAGACTTCTACGAAGTTCTCCCCACCATGGACTGGGTTCCCTTCTACATCCTGCCCTTCATTTTCTCTACAGGTCTGGGTTCCACCTCCTTAGCATTTCCTTCCACACACAATCTCCAGGGGCTACTGTCCAGTGTCTGGTACATTCAGCATCATTCTTGTGTTTTGTTTCCAGGTTTCTGTGCTCTGCCTGTGCTGACTCAGCCTCCATCGGCAAATGCCTCTCTGGAAGCCTCAGTCAAGCTTACATGCACCCTGAGCAGGGAGCACAGCAATTACTTTGTTCACTGGTATCAACAGGAACCAGGGAAGGCCCCTCGGTATTTGATGAAGGTTAATAGTGACGGAAGCCACAGCAAGGGGGACGGGATCCCCAGTCGCTTCTCAGGATCCAGCTCTGGGGTTGACCGCTATTTAACTATCTCCAACATCCAGTTGGAGGATGAAGCTGAGTACTACTGCGGTGAGAGCCATACAATCGATGGCCAACACGGTTAAGCCACAGTGATACACACAAAGGGGAAGTGAGGCTAATACCTCCCACTCTCTCTGTCCTCTTCCCCATGGGGATTCAGGGGGAGCGGCTGTATGCCCCTCTCCAGGGCCCTGAGAACTTTGCCTCTCCCTGGAAACCCTGTCACTCTGACCAAATCCCAAAACAACATTACAGAGAGACTGATACAGGGAGTAACTAAGGTCATTTTGACAACAGAACATTCTCTTTCGTTTGCCATACTTCTGGGAAAGATCGGATCAGCCCAGACAAGAAAATGACCCTGAAACAGTAACTGGTCTGAGAAGACAGCATGAGCCATCAGACCCTGTGCATCCATGATGGGTCTCTGCTCAGGGAATGGACAGAGATCTCAGGGTTCTGCAGCTTACCAAGGAGGTTGGTTGAGTGAATACCATCACGATAATTTCATCATGAAGCATAACAGGACTCTTGCCAGTGTTGAATGTTTTAAAGGAAACATTTGGTCCCCAAGGGAGGTATGACAGAAAGTCTTAAAACCATGGTGGGTGCGGAGCTGGGATCTAGTAGGAAAACAGTGTGCATGCTAGAATGTTTATGATGGGACCAACATGGAGCATGGCCTCGGTTTCTCCATCAGTAATGATTCTTAACTTTTGGTCCACATGCTGTTATAGGCCTTTTTCAGGTTCTGCCCAGGAACACATCTACTGGTACAACAGCAGGGCATGGTGAAAGGGGTGCACGAAAGTGATAAATATATGATTAACCTGAATCTCAATCCTATGAGTGATCTATATCAAATGCATATGATGGCAGAGGGGCAAGCTTACTGGACATGTTGATCTTCACAGTTTTTCTGGTATTTGAAAAGCAGCATCTTTCACACAAACCCACACTCTTGTGTTAACGTTGAGCATCTGTATTGATCAAGGTAACCCTGGCCCCTGTAGACCTGAGCAGGGTTGGGAGGAATTGTGATGCTGGATCCCAGAAACTCTGGCCTGGTCCCCTTAGTGATGCAGCTCTGAGATGGAAAATCCAGGATCTGCCCATAGCCTGGAAAACTCCCAAGTGGGTAGGAGAAGAGAAGGTGGCTATTCCTCTAGAGACAGACTAGGCAGGGGTACAGGAGGAGCAGGAGGAGAGGAGACAGCAGGTCTCAGTCCTTCAGGGACTTCTTTCAAGTACATGCTGGACTGAGTCACAGGGAATCACAGGCACACCCTACACACTCCAGTAAAGGATTGTTCTCTACCAAGGGTTTGCAGAGATTGTGTCCCAAAAGAGGCCCCCCCCCCAGGTCCCTCTAGTGGGGATTTTCCTCCACCACATACATTGTGGGAAAGACATTCCAGAGGATGGTAGGGAAATAATATCCAAACCCACACCAAATCATCCCACCTCCAAGCCCACTTGGGACCTCCTGGTGTTTATAGCTTGGAAGAAAATAACCCAGTAGCCTTGGACAGAGAGACAGATGGACAAACAATGGATGTGATGACAGTGAATGGAAAAGGGAGGCAGATAAAGAGCATTTCCTTGTGTGCTGAGATGGTAACCAATCAATGAGGGAGTGACAACTACAAAGCATTGGCTAAAGGAGTCAAATGATTCCAGTAGTGGCAATTACTTTTTGTCACGTTTATAACAGGATCAGGGTCTCAGTAAGAGACCACTGGTCAGCTCCTGTCCTGTAGATGTGAGTAATGAAAATGTCAAGAGTGACTATCTCCTCCTGCATTGTTCCTTGTCAATAGCTTTTGGCTTCACTGATTGCCAGGTGATCCTGAGGCCAGGAATGAAATTTTTTGTCAAAAGTTCTTATGTAGTTTGTGGCCTTAGCAGAGTCTCCATAATAGAATCCTTTAGTCCCATTGTCTCCTTGGGGGAATCTCTTGGGCCTGATGAGCAACTTATTATTTAATACAGGGAGCACCTGAAACAGGTGTTAAGATCTAGCCAAGAGAGATGGAAGTGATGCCACTAACACTGTGAGGAGAGCCCAAGCAGGCTGAGCCACGAGTGAGAGTATGTTCAAGGAGATCTCCTTACCCCACTTCCCCCTACTCATTCTGCATCTCCCTTCCTTCTTCCCTTCCTTCCCCTGGCCCCACCCACTTCTCACTAGTTAACCAATGTTCTCACTTTCAATATCTTTCCCTGGAGACGTCTGGAATACCCCCCATGAGTCATATTCTACTCAATTCTTTATCTTCCCCTGTGTGTTCCTTTTTCATGTATTCTATCATATACGGATGCAAGATGTATCATCTTGATTCCTAAATACACAGGAATCTGGTGCCTGTGGGACATCAGGATTGTCTCGGCATAGACCCTTTTCAAATGCACTACATTGTACCCTGCACTCTCCTTTCTGAAAGAAGATAGAGGGCTAGGCCAGGGCATTTCAACCCTGGGACAAGTACAGGGATCGTATCTGCCCTGCCTCCTGCACCGTGTATGTGACCTGTCTGTGCTGGGCTGGGCTGGGCTGGGCAGGGGACGCAGCTGCCTGTGGGAGGCTGGAAACCCTGGTCCGCACCCTTTCCCGGGTGACTGGTGCTGTTGGGTGACCTGCAAGGGGAAATCTCCTGGACTGAATCTTCCTCCACCAGCAGGGGGCAGCAGAGCTTCAGCAGGGGCAGCAAGACAGAGTTTGGGGCTGCCCAAGAGGAGCCTCACAAGGACACCAGGCCCGGGTGTCAGCAGGCGTCCAGGGTTCAGTCCAGAGACTGTCACGATGATCCACTCTATCTTCTCAGGCTGCAGGGACCTTACTCTGAGAGTCACACACACAGAATATTGAAGGGAGGCCTGACACACTGGGTGAGAAATGCAGGTCCTCTCAATGTCCATCAGTGTTCCCAGGCACTGACTCCTCTGTGCTGGGCATATCCATGGATGCCCTGACCACTCACACTCAGCTTATCTTTCCTTCCTCCAGTCTGCAGCTCCTTGCTCAGGAAGAGCTGAGGGAGAGAGAGCAGGGACCACTGAGCCCCTGGTCCCTGGAAGAGACATCAGCAACGTCCTTGTGAGATTGTCTCCAGAGGGGAATGAATGCTCCCTGCTCAGGCCACAGCTCTGGTCCCTGGGTTATCCTTGTTCAGTGACAGGATCAACTCCCTGCAGGGACACTGTCTCAAGCCCAGAGCTCATGCCATGTGGGATCCTGTGACCTTGGGGACCAGAAAGCTTCCAATGATTTGCCATGCTTTTTACATGTTTACATGAAACACTGATGAAAAAAATTATGGTGGCCAATTTCTGCTCTCTTGTGGGATGAGGGCTGTCACAGGAATGAAAATAGCCTGTCTTAATACATGAGACATTGTGAGGAATCTCCAACAGCTAGTGGTTGGTTAACAAGTCAATTCCCAGGTAGAAAGTTGTGCACAAACCTCAGAATGAGATAGTTTCCCAATGGAACCAGAGTGCAGTGTGGGACAGACAGGGTACCTGAGACAGGAAGAGGTGGGTAATGAGGCTACAGGAGCAACGTTCCCTGAATCAGTGGTTTTCTTCACTCTCAGAGCCCAGCTCACCCCATGGCCAGGCTCCTGCAAGGTCCTGAGCCAGCCCAGCACAGACCCCAGGCGCAGAGGTTTCAGACAGAGTCAGTGTCAGGTCCCAGGAATCTGACTATTGAAGCCAGACCTTGGAAACCAAGGTTGATTTTCTCACCAGAAAGCTCCATGAAGAAAACCATGGGCTTCTGTCTTCCTCCTCAATCACCTGCTCCGTCTCACAAGCAACTAATCCACATAGAGACCCACAGAGAAATTTATTTGCATAAATGTTAACAATCACTGCCTCATGGGCCTGGAGGGAATAAGAGGAGCCTGGGTGAGCCTGCCCTGCTCTGGGGTCTCTGGAGGCAGAGCTCTGGGCATCTCCACCAGGGCCTGGACCCTTTTCCTGTTCCCCATTATCACTCTCTGCACAGGTGCACCCCAGGCCCTGCACACAAGCTCATCCTGCACAGGGCCTGAGCTGTGCCTGCCCCAAACCCTGAGCTCAGCACCAACACTGACTCAGTATTGGGTCCCTGGGAATGAGTCCCTGGACCTCACACCAACCCCTCCCCTTCTGTCTTTTCAGGTTCCATGGTCTCCAGTGGGCTGACTGAGCCACCCTCTGCGTTGCTGACCCAGGGACAGATGGCTACAATCACCTGCTCTGGAGAAGTACTGGGGAAAAGATATGCATATTGGTACCAGCAGAAGCCAAGACAAGCTCTTGTGCTTGTGATTACTAAAAATAATGAGCGACCCTCAAGGATCTCTGACTGGTTCTCAGCCTCTACCTCAGGAAATTTTACCATCAGTGGGTCCCTGGCCGAGGATGAGGTTGACTATTTCTATCAGTCCTATGACAGCAGTGGTAATGCTCACAGTGACACAGGCTGATGGGGAAGTGAGACACAAGCCCCTTCCTTGTCTGTGTCGCACTCTCCTCCAGCCCCAGGAGAACCATGGATAAGCACTGAGCAGGTCTGGCCCAGGGCCCCAGGTCTGAGGCCCCCAGAGCTCCTCCCCCACTCTGCTCAGGTAGCCCTGCACCCATTGGGTCAGAAGACCGTTCACCTGAGTGCACCAGGCTACACTGCTTTCTGGGCCTCTCTCTGAATGTGGGACAGATGTCTTCAGTGGAAGAAAGACAGAGGGAGTCTTGTCCAGGAGAGCATTTAGCTGATAGCACTAGGCTACACTGGTCTCTTTGCTTGTGTGTGAATGTGGGACAGAGGGCTTTGGTAGAGGAAAGACAGAGGGAGCCTTTTGTCCAGTGCTCATGATCTCTGTATTTTCCTTGTGTTATGGGCCACACTTCACACAATGGACCAGGATTAGAGTCCAAATATCCCAGAGAAGCTGAGTTCCTAAAGCCACAATGCCATCCGTGGGGGCCACCTCCACCTGAGTGGAGAGGTTGGGTACAGTAGACAGAGGGGTCACCCACATTGCCTCCTCTGGGCTCACACACCCACCCACTACTGCCTAGAGCCACTGACAGCTCACAA